TAAAAATACAAAAAATTAGCCATGCATGGTGACACACGCCTGTAGTCCCAACTACTTGAGAGACTGAGGCAGGAGAATCGCTTGAACCTCGGAGGTGGAGGTTGCAGTGAGTCAACATTGTGCCTGGGTGACAGAGCAAGACTTCATCTCAAAAATGAATAAATAAATAAAATTTTTTAAAAAAAGTTTTTAAAAAATCTATACATTTCATATATATATGTGTGTGTATATATATATGGAGAAAATTGACAGTTTCCTTTTCTCTCCATATATGAGTGTATTAAAAAACCCATGACTCTGTCAATTCCTTCTTCAAACACAAATTTGAAAGTCTTTCAGGCTGGGCACAGTGGCTCATACCTATAATCTCAACACTTTGGGAATCTGAGCTGGGAGGATTGCTTGAGGCCAGCAGTTCAAAGCCAGCCTAGGCAACATAGTGAGACCCTGACTACAAACTTTTTTTTTTTTTTTGTGAGATGGAATTTCACTCTTGTTGCCCAGGCTGGAGTTTAATGGTGTGATCTTGGGTCACTCCAACTTCCGCCTCCTGGGTTCAAGTGGTTCTCCAGTCTCAGCCTCCCAAGTAGCTGGGATTACAGGCGTGTGCCACATATTTGGCTAATTTTGCATTTTCAGTAGAAATGAGGGTTTCTCCATGTTGGGCAGGCTGGTCTCGAACTCCCAACCTCAGATGATCCACCTGCTTCAGCCTCCTAAAGTGTTGGGATTACAGGCATAAGCCACCATGCCCAGACTACAAAATGTGGTTTTTTTGCGTTTTTTGTTTTTGTTTTTGTTTTGAGATGGAGTCTTGCTCCTGTCTCACAGGCTGGAGTGCAGTGGTGTGATCTCAGCTCACTGCAACCTCCACCTCTCAGGTTCAAGCAATTCTTCCTCAGCCTCCCGATTAAATGGGATTACAGGTGTGCACCACCACACTTGGCTAATTTTTGTATTTTTAGTAGAGATGGGCTTTCGCCACGTTGGCCAGGCTGGTCTTGAACTCCTGACCTTAAGTGATCCACCCACCTTGGCCTCCCAAAGTGCTAGGATTACAGGCATGAGCCACTGTGCCTGGCCAACAAAATGTTTTAAAAATTAGCTGGGCATAGGGCCTGGCATGAAGGCTCACACCTGTAATCGCAGCACTTTGGGAGGCCAAGGCAGGCGGATCACCTGAGCTCAGGAGTTTGAGACCAGCCTCGCCAACATGGTGAAACCCTGTCTCTACTAAAAATACAAAAATTAGCCAGGCATGGTGATGCACCTCTAATTCCAGCTATTCAGGAGGCTGAGGAAGGAGAATCGCTTGAAACCGGGAGGCGGAGGTTGCAGTGAGCCGAGGTTGTTCCAATGCACTCCAGCCTGGGTGACCGTCTCAAAAAAAAAAAAAAAAAAAAATTAGCTGGGCGTGATGGCATGTGTCTTTAGTCCTAGCTACTTGGGAGGCTAAGGCGGGAGGATCACCTGAGCCCAGGTGGTCGAGGCTACAGTGAACTGTGATCCAGCCTGGGTGACAGTGCAAGACACTTTCTCAAGAAAAAAAAGTCTTTGTGAGGCGGTATGGCAGACTGATTTACAGTGACAGCAATAAGCACTTGGAAACAGATTGATTAGGTCAGATTCCCAGTTCTGCATCTTACTAGCTCTGTGGTGTCAGGAAAGTTACTGAATCTTCATGTGTCTCAGTTTCCACATTTGAGAAATGGTAATAATAATAGTCCCTATCCTGTGGTTTGGTTATGGTTTGTTTGACCCCACCAAGTGTTGTGTTGAAATTTGATTCTCAGTGTTGAAAGTGGGGCCTGGTGGGAGGTGTTCAGGTCATAGGGGCAGGTCCCTCATGAATGGCTTGGTGCCATTCTTGTGGCAGTTAGTGATTCTCACTCCTCCTCCTCTTCCTCCTCCTCTTCTTCTTCCTCTTCTTCCTTCTCCTCCTCCTCCTCCCAGGTTCAAGTGATTCTCCTGCCTCAGCTTCCTTAGTAGCTGGGATTACAGACACCTGCCACCACACCTGGCTAATTTTTGTATTTTTAGTAGAGACGGTGTTTCACTATGTTGGCCAGACTGGTCTTGAACTCCTGACCTCAGGTGATCCTCCCGCCTCAGTCTCCCAAAGTGCTGGGATTACAGGCGTGAGCCACTGAGCCTGGCCTGAATTACTGATTTTTACATACTGTACAAACGTCTGCATCCTACTTTTTCTTACTTTTGTTAAATTTGGCCTAAAGCTGCCTCATAAACAATGAACTGTATCCTAATTTAATTAAGCATGTCAACATTTCACTAATGGAATATAAAAGTAAAATTAAAAAATAAGAAAATATGACCAAAAAAAAAAACCGTGTAAACATTTGGGAAAAAGCCTTCAGGCCTTGTCAGTTCCTAGAATGTATTTATTTTCACTGCGCTGGGGACTCCATTTCCAGTATTAAGGTCCATTTTCAGAAGGTGGGTTTGGTGAGTGTGAAAAAAGGGGGTTGGGAGTAATCGTACAAACAATTGTGTCCAGGCCAGGTTCCTAGGACCTGAGGGACCCCTCCGTATGGCAGAGGCACCCGACATCCGTAACTGTTGTGCACCCTACGAATGACTTTATGGTCTAAGAAGAACGTGTGTTCAGAGCTCCACCTAAGGAATCAGGAGTGGCAATATCCTGGTAGGATGCCAGCCTATGAAACCCCGAGTCTAGAGGTCAAGCTGGGCACTTAGCTTCTTTCTTTTTTTTGAGACGGAATTTCACTCCTGTTGCCCAGGCTGAAGTACAATGGCGTGATCTTGGCTCACTGCAACCTCCACCTCCCAGGTTCAGGCGATTTTCCTGCCTCAGCCTTTCCAAATAGTTGGGATTACAGGTGCCCGCCACCACACCTGGCTAATTTGGTATTTTTAGTAGAGATGGGGTTTCTCCATGTTGGTGAGGCTGGTCTCGAACTCCCAACCTCAGGTGATCTGCCCGCTTCGGCCTCCCAAAGTGCTGGGACTACAGGCGTGAGCCACCGTGCCCGGCCGAGGCACTTGATTTCTTAGGTCACTCACTTGGCCCTCTTCCAAGTTATACTTTCTTTCTTTCCTTCCTGTTCTAAAGTTTTTTAATAATTTTTTTTTTCTGAGATGGCATCTCACTCTGTAGCCCAGGCTGCAGTGCAGTGGCATGATCTCAGCTCACTGCAACCTCTGCCTCCCGGGTTCAAGCATTTCTCCTGCCTCAGTCTCCCAAATAGTTTGGACTACAGGTGCCCGCCACCCGGCTAATTTTTGTATTTTTAGTAGAGACGGGGTATCTCCATGTTGGCCAGGTTGGTCTCAACCTCCTGACCTCAAGTAATCCTCCCGCCTTGACCTCCCAAAGTGCTGGGGTTACAGGTTTGAGCCACTGCACCTGGCCTGCTTTTTTTTTTAGACTGAGTGTTGCTCTGTCGCCAGGCTGGAGTGCAGTGGTGTGATCTCGGCTGACTGCAACCTCTGCCTCCTGGGTTCAGTAGATTCTCCTGCCTCAGCCTCCTGAGTAACTGGGACTACAGGCGCATGCCACCATGCCCAGCTAATTTTCAGTAGAGACGGGGTTTCACCATATTGGCCAGGCTGGTCTCAAACCCCTGACCTCGTGATTCTCCCACCTCTGCCTCCCAAAGTGCTGGGATTACAGGCGTGAGCCACAGCGACCAGCGCTGGCCTGCTTTTTAATAAACTTTTACTACTGCTCTGCAACTGGCCTTCCTCTGGCTTTCTGCCTTATACCCTTCAGTGCAATTCTTTCTTCTGGGGAGGCGAGAATTGAGGTTGCTGCTGATGTGTAGGGACTCACCACCCGGAACTCCACCAGTAACGGGTCGAGGATGCTAGTTGAAAATGTTATGTAAGCTGCATGCTTTTTACAAATCGTAGTGGTTCTCATGTCCAGCAATGGCCACTGAACTGTCCCTGTATGAAAGTACCCTCCATAAACGTATGTCTCCTTTGCTGTCTCCAAATCTCCTCCTCTATCTCTCCCACACGGTGCCTTCCCTACTGGAGTAAAGTGGGGTCCCGCAGGGCACCCTTTCCCTGCAATTTTTTTTTTTTTTTTTTTTTTTTGGAGACAGAGTCTTGCTCCGTTGCCCAGGCTGGAGTGCAGTGGTGTGATCTTGGCTCACTGCAGCCTTTGCCTCCCGGGTTCAAGCGATTCTCCTACCTCGACTTCCCGAGTAGCTGGGATTACAGGTGCGCGTCATCACGCCCCGCTAATTTTTTTTTTTTTTTAAATTTTTACAAAATAGGGACGGGGTTTCACTGTCTGTTGGCCAGGCTGGTCTCGAACTCCTGGCCCCAAGTGATCCGCCCCCCCCCCCCCCCGCCCCCCACCTCGGGTTCCCAAAGTGCTGGGATTACTGCACCTGGCCTCTCTCCCTGCATCTTTATGTGCCTGCAACATCAAGAGGGAGCTCTTGGCCCCTGGGTTAAGGTCAGGGCTCCAGAATCCCAGGGTCAAGGCTACGACCGCATCCCAAGGACGGGCATCCCTGCAAGAGGCTGCATCACACAGGCATGGAAGAAGCTCCCCTGGGGCCAGCTCAAATTCCTGCTGGGGAAAGCAAGTGGAGGTGCTCCTTGACGAAACAGGGGGATCCCACCGATCTCAGGGGTTCTGTTCTGGCCTGCGACCCTGGATCGTCCAGCCTGGGCCGGGGTGGGGAGCAGACCTCGCCCTTCTTGGCTGGGGCTGAGGGTGAGGGTCCCGTTTCCCCAAAGGCCTAGCCTGGGGTTCCAGCCACAGGCCCCACTGGGCCGCTCCCGGCCCCGCCCCGCCCCGCCCCTCCAGGCCTGGCACTCGTCCTGAACCACCTGGGTTCCAGCCACAGGCCCCACTGGGCCGCTCCCGGCCCCGCCCCGCCCCGCCCCTCCAGGCCTGGCACTCGTCCTGAACCAAGATGGCGCGGAAGGTTTCCAGGCGCGTCACGCCACCGGCGCGTCACGCGAGCCGCCCTACGGGCACCTCCCGCGCTTTTCTCTCTTAGCCCAGCAGATGGTGACGGAGAGGGGAGCGGGGGAGTAGGCGAGCGGAGCATGGCCCGGGGCTTGGCGATGGCCTGGGCGGTGCTTGGGCCGCTGTTGTGGGGCTGCGCGCTGGCGCTGCAGGGCGGGATGCTGTACCCCCGGGAGAGCCAGTCGCGGGAGCGCGAAGTGAGCTGACGGCCTTTGAGCTTCCGCGCCGACTTCTCCGGACAACTGACGCCGGGGCTTTGAGGAGCAGTGGTACCTGGCGGCCGCTGCGGGAGGTGCGATCTCGGGCAGGGCCGGGAGGCGTCCGGAAGCCCGGCGGTGAGTAGGGATCCCGGCCCTACAGGCTCCTTCCCCTGGGCTTCCCGGAGCTGGGAGCCTGCAGGAGGTTAAAGGTCAACGGGCTTAGGGGGCGCGGGGTTGGGGGACGGGGGGACGGGGGAACGGGGCACTCTGGGAGGGCCGGGGTGGAGGAGGCTGGAGGAGAAAAGACTCCTGCCGAACCCCTTCCTGAGGCGAAGGCTGAGCCTGTGCAGTGTCTCTTCTGCTTAATATTTATTTTTTATTAAAAATGTTTTTTGAGACTGAGTTTGCACCTGTCTCGTGGCTAGAGGAGAGTGGCACCATCCTAACTTCTGAGCTCACTCGATTTCCCGTCCTGCAAAGGTTTAGCTGGGCCACCACGCCTGGCTAAAAAGCAAAACAAAACAAAATCTACCTGGCTCAGTGGCTCACACCTGTTATCCCAGCACTTTGGGAGGTGCGTGAGCGGTGAATCACCTGAGGCCAGGAGCTTGAGACCAGGCTGGCCAACATAACATGGTGAAACCTCGTCTCTACTAAAAATATAAAAATTAACCAAGTGTGGTGTTCACGCCCTGTAATCCCGGTACTTGGGAGGCTGAGTCATTGAGAATTGCTTGAACCCAGGAGGTAGAGGTTGCAGTGAGCTGAGATCATGCCACTGCACTCCAGCCTGGGCGACACAGTGAGACTTTTTTTTTTTTTTTTTTTTAAAGATATAGGGTCTCACTAGTTACCCAGGATGGTCTCGAACTCCTGGCCTCAAGCCATCTTCCCATGTGGACCTCCCAAAGTGCTGATTACAGGCAGGAACCACCACACTCCCTGGCACAGCAGCATGCACTGCACAGAGCTGGGGCCCGGGGATTGGGAGGAGGGAACAAAGCCAGACGCCCTGAGGTCAGCTGGTTTTTAAGGTTCAGATAGAGGAGCAGACGACACGTGCCACAAGGACACCACTCCGTGTTCTCCTGACTCGTGGATGTGGTCAGCAGAGAAGTGGAACCGGGTGAGGTCTGGGCTGCTTTTGCCTGGTCTACATCCTCTTTTTCTGACTTTGCAGCATTCAGTACAGGAGGGAGAGAGGGGAGGGGGCTGGGCGTGCTGTGTGGGCCCCACTCCACAGTGTCCTAAGCAATGCTCCCCTAACCTCCCCCAACCAGCCTTCCTCCCTGTGACATGCAATGGGCCATCTGCCTTAGTCATGGGTCTGAACCCTTCTTGCCTTCTGGCTGATGTGGCCCTGGGCTCGTCCTGTCTTGGGAGCTGCTGGGCTCCCATCCACCTGGAGGTGAGGAACTCCTGGCTCCCCTGGCCCAGGTGCACAAACCGCCCTGGCAGTTGACCTGTTATCAGCAAGTTATCTGTCTGTTCCGCCAAGAGTCCTCACAATGTGTCAGGGCTTTTGCACTAAGCCTGGGACACAGCTGTGCAGCACACTGGTCCCGGATCCCTTTGGGGGCCTAGGAGCTGAGCCCGGCCTTTCTCTCCACAGTCAGGCCCCACCCTGGACATGCCGGTTCCCTCCAGCTTCAATGACATCAGCCAGGACTGGCGTCTGCGGCATTTTGTAGGCTGGGTGTGGTATGAACGGGAGTGTGATCCTGCCGAGCGATGGACTCCAGGACCTGGAGCACAAGAGTGGTGCTGAGGATTGGGCAGTGCCCACGCCTCATGCCAGCCCGGCCGGGGTGCGGCCAGGAGCAGGCAGGGCGGGTGGGTGGGCACGGCTGCCGACCAGCATGGGACCCCCAACTGCCAACCACAGCCTGTCTGCCGGGGTGGGATGGTGGGGGCTGCCCTGCCTTGGGTGCTGTGCCCTGTGTAGGGATAGGTGGCCTGATCTACCCCATTGGGATGCCATTCTTCCCATCTGGTGGCAGGCCCCAGAGCCCCATACTGTTGGGATATGTGAGGGAGTGCCCTACAGCTGGCACCTCCTTATGCCCTGACCTGCCACCCTCCCATGTCTCCTGTGTCTGCAGTGGGTGAATGGGGTCCACACGCTTAGAGCATGAGGTGGGGGCTACTCTCCCTTTGAAGTCAAAGAAGTATCAGCAACCTGGTCCAGGTGGGGCCCCTGTCCTCCCAGCTCCGTGATCACTATTGCCATATCAACAACACACTCACCTCCACCACCCTGCCACCAGGACCATCCATCACCTGACCACATTTCCAAGTGGGTACCATCCTGCTTCCATTGCACGCACCCACCTTCCCGCCCCCACCCCGTGGTCTCCTGCTAGGGACAGGGGTGGCCTTTGCAGGAGGTGGAGGCCCTGGATCTGGGAGGCTGGGAAGGCATGTGAGCTGAGGTCAAGGACCCAGGGCAAGGGCCCAGCGAACCACAGTCCTCCCACCCTAGGTATCCTAAGGGTTACTTTGTCCAGAATACATACTTTGACTTCTTCAACTACGCGGGACTGCAGCGGTTCCAGGCTTGCACACGACACCCACCGCCTACATCGATGACATCACTGTCACCACCGGCGTGGAGCACGACACTGGTGAGGGCTTCTGCAGGATCCTCTCAGCGGCTCCAGGGTGGCTCTGTTTGTTCCCTGTTTGGAAAGCTCTCCCAGGAAAAAGGTGCTCCCAGCATCTCTAAACCCTCACAGGTCTTCATCCACCTACAAAGCTAAATTCCAGGCTGTTCGAGTGGGCACGCTCCCGAAATCACCCGTGTGGTTGACCTCCCTTGGAGAAGAGGGGTCTGGCCTAACGTCACGCCAGCTCAGGTGGCAGTCGTGTCCCTTCGCCACTGTGCTGCTCTCTCACTCCAGCTCCCCTTATACACGTCATGCTCAAGGAACAGGCAGGTTCGGGGTCCGGGCACGACATGGCTCATACCTGTCATCCAGCACTTTGCAAGAAGGCCCTGATAGGAGGATCTCTTGAGGCCAGTAGTTCAAGACCAGCCTGGGCAAATACAAGGCCATCACCACAAAAATTAAAAATTAGCCAGGCATGGTGATGCATACCGTAGTCCCAGCTGAGGCAGGAAAATCACCAGCCTGGGCGGTCAAGGGTGCAGTGAGCTATGACTGTGCCACTGCGTTCTGATCTGGGCACAGCAACAGAGGAGACCCTGCTCCTTTTCTTTTTTTTCTTCTTTCTTTTTTTTTTTTTTTTGAGATGGAGGCTTGCTCTGTCACCAGGCTGGAGGGCAGTGGTGTGATCTCGGCTCACTGCAGTCTCTGCCTCCTGGGTTCAAGCAATTCTCCTGTCTCAGCCTCCCAAGTAGGAGCTGGGATTACAGGCACCTGCCACTACACCCGCTAATTTTTGTATTTTTTTGTAGAGATGGGGTTTCACTATGTTGGTCTGACTGGGTTCTTGAACTCCCAACCTAAGGTGATCCACCCTCCTTGGCCTGCCAAAATGCAAGGGTTACAGGCGTGAGCCACTGCAGCCCAGCTGGGGGTGCATACCCAGGTTTTTTTTTGTTTTTTTTGGGGTTTTTTTGGTTTTTTTTTTTTTTGAGATGGAGTCTCTCTCTGTTGTCCAGGCTGGAGTGCAGTGGTATGGTCTTGGCTCACTGTAACCTCCGCCTCCCAGGTTCAAGCGATTCTCCTGCCTCAGCCTCCTGAACAGCTGGGATTACAGGCGTATGCCACCATGCCTAGCTACTTTGTATTTTTAGTAGAGATGGGGTTTCAGCATGTTGGCCAGGCTGGTTCAACTCCTGACTTCAGGATCCACCCATCTCAGTCTCCCAAAATGCTGGGATTACAGGCATGAGCCACTGGGATATCCTGTATTTATGAAAAATTTTTGTTTTAAGTTTTTTTCTTTTTCAAAATGTACATATTTCAGGCCGGGCGCCATGGCTCACGCCTGTAATTCCAACACTTTGGGAGGCCAAGGCAGCTGATCACAAATCACAGAGCTCAAGACCATCCTGGCTAACACTGTGAAACTCCATCTCTACTAAAAATACAAAAAATTAGCTGGGCGTACTGGCGGGAGCTTGCAGTCCCAGCTACTCAGGAGGCTGAGGCTGGAGAATGGCGTGAACCCAGGAGGCGGAGCTTGCAGTGAGCCAAGATCACATCACTGCACTCCAGCCTGGGTGACAGAGAGAGACTCATATCAAAAAAACAAAAAAACTTACCTTTCTCTTTTCCTGGCTGAGGAGGCCTTGCACTGTCACCCAGGCTGGAGTGCAGTGGCAAGATTCATTGACAGCCGTCAAGGCTGCAGTTCTAAGTTTAAAAGAATCAGGTGCCAGTGGTGCGTGTGGCTCACGCCTGTAATCCCAGCACTTTGGGAGGCGGGCGGATCATGAGGTCAGGAGATCGAGACCATCCTGGGCTAACACAGTGAAACCCCTGGCTCTCACTATGGTCAGGCAAATTAGCTGGGTGGTGGGCAGGTGCCTGTAGTCCCAGCTACTCTGGAGGCTGAGGCAGAAGAATGGCTTAAACCTGGGAGGGGGGAGCTTGCAGTGAGTTTGAGATTGCGCCACGTGTACCTGTAGCCTGAGCAACAGAGCAAGACTGGCCTCAAAAGAAAAAGAAACAATTTAGGCTGGGTGTAGGGCTAATGCTTGTCATCCCAGCACTGGGAATCAAGGTGGTGGATCGGCGCAACTGAAAGCCACCAGCTCAAAATATAGTGAGACCTGCTCCTGAGAAAAAAAATAAAATAAACAAAATAAAACAATTGGAAAAAAGAATCACACAGCAAACGTTAATGCAACATAGAGCAATTTATTGCCCAGAAAGTATTTAAAGTGTTTAGAATAGCCTGGTGCAGTGGTTCATGCCATAATACCAGCACTTTTTGGAGGCCGAGGCGTGGTGGATCACTTGGGCTCAGAAGTTCAAACCAGCCTAGCCAACGCAGCTGGGCATTGTGGTGTGAGCCTGCAATCCCAACCAGGAAAGGAGATGGGAGAGTTGCTTCAACCCGGGAGGTGGGAGGTTGCAGTGAGCTGAGATTGCAACACTTGCACTCCAGCCTGGGTGATAGAGCGACACCCCAACTCAAAAAAAATAATGAAGTGCAAAACACACGGTTCACCCTGAGACACAGAATTCAGGACAGGCTGCTCGTAAGGATGAGACAGCGCCGATTATTACTGGGGAAACTCTCTTTGGAGTCTTCCATGATGAATTCCTAAGGAGCTGGAAGAGGTGTTACTGTGCTAATGCTCTGGGCTGTCCTCTGGGTGCTGCATACGCAGTAGCTGTACATGCGTGTTCACACGTCGCGTTGTCTCAACGCCGTGGCTGGTAATTGGGTCCAAAGGACACAGTCACTTCTTGACTACCTACCCTGCCTCAAGATCATAGCTCACTGCAGCCCCGAACTCCTGGCTCAAGCAGTCCTCCCACTTCCAGCCTCTTCCCAAGTAGCTGGGGCTGCAAGCACGCACCAGCACGCCCAGCTGATTGTTTGTGTTTTTAGGGAAGAAGTGGTTTCCCTGTGTTACCCAGGCTGGTCTTGAACTCCTGGGCTCAAGCGATCCTTCCACCTCAGCCTCCCCAAGTGTTGGGATTACAGGTGTGACCACTGTGCCTGGCTGAAATCTTTTTTAAATTAAAAGCATTGGGTGCGGGCTCACACCTGTAATCCCAGCACTTTGGGAGGCCAAGGCGGGTGGCGTCAGGGGCTCAGAGCAGCCTGGCCAATATGGCAAAACCCCATCTCTACTAAAAAAATATAAAATTCGCCTCGAGCATGGTGGTGCATGTCTATAATCCTAGGTACTTGGGAGGCTGAGGCAGGAGAATCACCTGAACCCTGGAGGTGGAGGTTGCAGTGAGCCGAGATCATGCCATTGCACTCCAGCCTGGGGAACAGATTGAGACTCCGTTTCAAGAAAAAACAAAACAATTTTAAAATTAAAAAAAAAAAAAGCAACAGAAACAAATGGCTGCCTGGCAGCAGTGGCTGCAGGGCACTCCCGTTTGTGCCACTCAGGTCGTGTCCCTCCCTCAGCCCTGCTCTCTCTCGCTTTCTCGCAGGCTGGTAATTTGGCCAGATCTCTGTCAAGGCAGTAACCTGTTCGAGTTGGAAGTGCGTCTTCTGGATGCAGAAAACAAACTCGTATAACGGGACAGGCACCCAGCTGTGCTGAAGGTGCCGGTGCCAGGCCTGGGTGGCCATACCTGATGCACGAACGCCCGCCTCTATCTGTACTCGTTGAGGTAATGGTGGTTTGGGGCTTCTGCTCCAAGGGAGGTCTTTGCCCGCATCTGGTGACCTTGACTGTGCAGGAGCCCAGGACAGGTGAACGGGCAGCGTGGGTCCTCTGAGCTTGATGTTTCTCACCCTTGTGGGAGGCCCAGTTTTGTTTTGTTTTGTTTTTAAGGTTTTGTTTTTTTGAGATGGTCTCACTCTGTCACCCCGCTGGAGTGCAGTGGCCTGATCACAGCTCACTGCAGCCTGAGCTCCTCAGCCTGCAGCAATCCTCCTACCTTTGGCCTCCTGAGTAGCTGGGACTACAGGCACATGGTGCCATGCCTGGCTAACAAAGAAAAAAAATTGTAAGCTGGGCACAGTGGCTCATGCCTGCAATCCCAGCATTTTGGGAGGCTGAGGGGTGGGTGGATTTTGGCCTGAGGCCAGGAGTTTGAGACCAGCCTGGCCAACATGGTGAAACCCCATCTCTACTAAACATGACAATTTGCTGGGCGGTGGTGCACACCTGTAATTCCAGCTACTCGGGAGGCTGAGGCAGGAGAATTGCTTGAACTCAGGAGGCAGAGGGTGCAGTGAGCTGAGATCACACCACTGCAGTCCAGCCTGGGGGACAGAGTGAGACTGTCTCAAAAAAAAATTTTTTTATAGAGATGAGGTCTCCAGGCTGTTGCCAGGCTGGTCTTGAACTCCTGACTCAGTGATCCTTCTGCCTTAGCCTCCCAAAATGTGAGAACTCCAGGCATGAGCCTCCTTGTCTGGTCAAGGAAGACCCCGCTTTTGAAGGGCAGGTCCCAGGGTCAGCCAGGGAAAAGCAGAGCCTCTGATTGCTGCATCTCTGCTTACAGGCCCAGGCAGCTGCTGGTGCACGAGGGGCCTCTCCTGGCAGAGGGCTCAGGCTGTTGGGGTGCTCACACCTGGTGCTTTGGTTGTTGTAGGTGCGGCTGACTGGCATTCAGATGTCACCGGGCCTGTGTCTGACTTCTCACACACTCCCCTGTGGGATCCGCCACTGTGGCTGTCACCGAAAGCCAGTTCTCATCAATGGGAAACTCTTCTATTTCCACGGAAGTCAACAAGCATGAGGATGGACTGCGCTGGGGCTCCTGGATCCCTTGGGGCTGCTTCTGGTCACCTCCACTTTCACCTCCTGTGCCCTGCAGTTGAGGGCAGCTCAGGGCAATGAGGCAAATGGCTCCAAATGGAGAGGGGACTCTTGGGGTGGCTCTCCAGGGTCCCGATTTCAGAGGAAGTGTGCAGCTTCGACAGGGACAGGGATCACTGCCTGTCCCGTGAGATCCGAGGAAGGGTCTTCACTGGCCGCTGCTGGTGAAGGATTCTCAACCTGCTTCGCTGGCTTTCTGGTGCCAACGCCCTTCCGCACCAGCCACTACCCCTACGCCGAGGAAGTGCTGCAGATGTGTGACCGCTATGGGATTGTGGTCATCGATGAGTGTCCTGGCGTGGGCCTGGCACCTGCCGTGAGTCCGCTGTGCACCTGCTCCGCCTGCCCAGCCCGCGGCTGCACCATGACCCTCTGTCCTTCCCTCCTGGCCTGCAGGCAGTTCTTCTTCGAACAACGTGTCCCTGCAGAACCACATGCGGGTGATGGAGGAAGTGGAAGGGCAGGGACAAGAACCACCCCGCCGCCGGTGATGTGGTTCAGCCAAACGAGCCCAAGGCCCCACCTAGAATCTGCCGGCTACTACTATGAGTGCTCCCTGCCTGCCCTCGGCTAGGTTGGGGAGGAGACCTGGCAGGCTGGCTGGGGTGGGCGTGTGTGCTGTTCAAGATCAGCCTCCCGTCCAGCCCAATGGCAAGGCCGTCTATACCTGGACATTCAGGGACCAAATACCCACCCAAATTTTTTTTTTTTTTTTTTTTTTTTTTCCACTTTTTAAATTTGAGATGGAGTCTCACCGTGTTGCCTAGGCTAGGAGTGCGGTGGGGCAGACCTCCGCCTCACTATAACCTCTGCCTCAGTTCAAGTGATTCTCCTGCCTTAGGCCTCCTGAGTGGCTAGGATTACAGGCACCCATGAGCCACTGTGCCTAGCCTGGTTATTATTTTTTTTTTTTTTGAGACAGGTTCTCACTCTGGTTGCCCAGGTTGGAGTGCAGTGGTTCAGTGTTGGCTCACTGTAGCTTTGACTTCCCAGGCTCAGGTGATCCTCCCACCTTAGCCTCCCAAGTAGCTGGGATTATAAATGTACATCTGTTTCAGCTAATTTTTTCTTTTTTTCTTTTTCTTTTTTTTTTGATACAGTCTCCCTCTGTTGCCCAGGCTGGAAGTGCAGGGGCATGATCTCAGCTCACTGCAACCTCTGCTTCCCTGGTTCAAGCGATTCTCCAGCCTCAGCCTCCTGAGTAGCTGGGATTACAGGCATGGGCCACCACGCCCAGCTAACTTTTCCTTTTTTTTTTTTTTTTTTCTTGAGATGGAGTCTCACTGTGGTCAGGCTGGAGTGTAGTGGCACACCTCGGCTCACTGTAACCTTCACCTCCCAGGTTCATGATTCTCCTGCCTCAGCCTCCTGAGTAGTTGGGACTATAGGGCACAGACACCAACACACCAAGCACATTTGTATTTTTAGTAGAGACAGGGTTTCAGCATTTTTGCCAGGATGGTCTCGATCTTCTTGAACTTCGTGATCCACCCGCCTCAAACTCCCGAAGTGCTGGGATTACAGGCGTGAGCCACTGCGCCTGGCCAACTTTGCACATTTTTCAGAGACGGGGTTTCACTATGTTGGGCCAGGCTGGTCTCGACTCCTGACCTCAGAGATCCACTTACCTCGGTCTCCCAAGTGCTGGGATTACAGGTGGGAGCCACCGTGCCCGGCTAATTTTTGTATTTTTAGTAGAGACTGGGTTTCACCATGTTTGCCAGGCTGCCCTGGAACTCCTGACCTCTAGTGATCCTCCCTGCCTCAGCTTCCTCAAAGTGCAGGGATTACAGGTGTGAACCACTGCTGGCCCCCTTTTCTTCCTTACAATCGCGGCAGTTCTAACTCAGCTCAGAATAGGGCTTTTTCACTGCAGCAGAGGCAGCAGAGGTGGTAGAAATGCTTGACCTTACACAGCACACCCCAATTTCATGCAGTGTTTTTGGACCGAGCCAAGTCTGCAGCAGGAAGGCTCTGAGAAGTTGCCTCCAGCCTGGGCCATGGACAATTCAGAGCTCAGGCCACAGGGTGTGCTCAGCAGGACTGGGTGGACAGTGGACGTTTGTTGGGCGAAGGCGGGAAGAGTACATGCTCTCCAGGGAAGCAGGTTTGAGGCTTTCCAGACAGGCCTTCTTGGGAGGTGGCCAGAGGAGATGCCTGCTTGAGGCAGGATTTGGAGGAGCCACCCAGGCTGGAGGTTCAGCCAGGCTGTCCTAAGCTGAAGGCCCCATCTGAGAGCCTGGCTGTTGGAGGAGGTGGGGTTTGAACCTGAGGCCCTGGAAGCCCTGATCTGTGCCAGTCACAGCCTCGGATGGGTAGAGTAATGATTGGGGAGGGCATAAAAGGAGAAATGAACCGAGGAAGGAGGAAAACAGGCTTCAACAACAGTCTAGGCTGGGCGTGGTGGCTCACGCCTGTAATCCCAGCACTTTGGGAGGCCAAGGTGAGTGGATCACCTGAGGTCAAAAGTTGGAGACCAGCCTGGCCAACAGATATTGAAACCTCATCTCTACTAAAAGTAAAAAAATTAGCTGGGCGGGAAGGTGGACGCCTGTAATCCCAGCTACTTGGGAGGCTGAGGCAGGAGAATTGCTTGAACCCGGGAAGCAGAGGTTGCAGTGAGCCGAGTTGATAAGTCATTGTACTCCAGCCTGGGCTACAGAGTGAGATTTTGTTTCTCAGAAAAAAAAAAAAGGGCCAGGTGCATGGTTCACGCTGTAATCCCAGCACTTCGGGTGCTGAGGTGGAGAGATCATTTAGGTCAGAGTTAAGAGTTAGCCTGACTAACATGATGAAAATCCCCTGCCTCTACCTAAAATACAAAAATTAGCCAGGCATGGTGGTGCGCTTGATCCCAGCATTCTCGAGGCTAAGGCAGAGAATCGGCTGGAACCTGGGAGACGGAGGTTGCAGTGAGCCGAGATTGTGCCTCTGCACTCCAGCCTGGGTGACAGAACAAGACTCTGTCTCAAAAAAAAAAGTCTATACTGTGAGGACTTGGGTGGGTGCTGGGAGCTCTGGAGCACTAATGGTCCCCTCTGTTGGGCTTTTTCTTCCCTCATCCCTCCTGGTTAACTCTACTCAGTATAAGGGCCATTTCCTCTTATTTATTTATTTATTTTTTGAGATGGAGTTTTGCTCTTATTACCCAGGCTGGAGTGCAATGGCGCGATCTCTGCTCACCGCAACCTCTGCCTCCTGGGTTCAAGCACTTCTCCCACCTCAGCCTGCACCGCTTGGGATTACAGGCATGCAAATTCACCATGCCCGGCTAATTTGTATTTTCAGTAGAGACGGGGTTTCTCCATGTTGGTCAGGCTGATCTTGAACTCCCAACCTCAGGTGATCCACCCGCCTTGGCCTCCCAAACTGCTGGGATTACAGGTACAGCTACTGCACCTCTTCCTTCTGGCTTGCTTTCAAGAGGCTGTCCCTAAGTCTCCGGTCCAAGTTATGTTTATTGTCTTAGTATATTCAACTCCTGCCACCACTTGTCACTTCCATTTGAAACATTTTCAATATTGGTTTTTCAGAGTCAGGGTCTCGCTCTTTCCCCACTGGAGTGCAGTGGGTGCAGTCAATGCTCATTGCCACTCGGCCTCCTGGGCTTGGGCGATCCTCCCACTCAGCCTCCCAAATGCCTGGGACCACAGGCGTGCACTGCCATGCCAGGCTAAGCTAAACTCTTTTTTCACAAGATGGAGTCTTGCTCTGCTGCCCAGGCTGGAGGAGCTGGATTTCTGCCCACTACAACCTCTACCTCTGGGTTCAAGCAATTCTTTGTTTCTGTGTAGCTGGCATTACAGGTGTGTGTGCCACATGTCTAATAGTTTTTTTATTTTTTGTAGAGATGGAATTCCATCATGTTGGCTGGGGCTGGTCTGAAACTCTTGATCTCATGATCCATCTGCCTCAACCTCCCAAAGTCCTGGGGGGATTACAGTCATGAGCCACCATGCCCGCCCCTAATTTTTAAATTTGCTGTAGAAAACCAGGTCTTGCTCTGTTGCCCAGGCTGGTCTTTGTGAAATGCTGGTCTCTAGTAAGCCTCCAAAGTGCTGGGATTCTAGGCGTGAGCCACCGTGCCCGGTTTTGCACCATTTCTCTGTGCATACGCTCCACCCCACTGCCCAGGACCTGTGGACTTAGATTTGAGTCACTGCTGAGCACCTCTTCGCACCAGCTCCATGCCTACTTCTCCTCTCCAGGGAGTGCCCCTGTTTGCTGGATGCATTAATAAATACCCCACCCAATTCTGCACCCATCCACTCCTGTGTTCAAGAGCTGTTTTCAGGAGTCAACCTCATTTTTAGCAGTGTTCAGCCCAGTGGCCTCGCTCTGTGTACCCGGAAGGGTGGCTAACCTCTGGGAAGATAGGATTCAGAGACAGGGGGAGAAAGAGTGATGTTAGAGATGGCTCAGACTCAGAGGAACATGTGCCCTTACTAAAATACATCTCCAGTTAGGAAGAAAGCAGCAGCTCCATGCTTTTTTTTCCTTTGTTTTTGTTTGTTTGTTTGAGACAGTCTTGCTCTGTGGACCAGGCTGGGAGTGCAGTGGCGCTTTATTCCGGCTCACCCTGCAACCTCCACCTCCCGAAGTTCCAGTGATTCTTGTGCTTCAGCCTCCCAGCTGGGGTTACAGATGCGCACCACCATGCCCGGCTAATTTTTGTATTTGTAGTAGAGAAGGGGTTTACCATGTTGGCCAGGCTGATCTTGAACTCCTGACCTCAGGTGATCCACCTGCCTCGGCCTCCCGAACTGCTGGGATTACGGGTGTGAGCCATCTTGCCTGGCCCCGTGTGGTGTTCCCAAGGGGGAAGATGGGACAGAGAGGATGGGAGGGTGTCTGAGCCCTTGGACCTACAGAACCCGTGTCTTCTGCCTTTTGTGGACAGGATGGTGATCACTCACACCAAAGCCTTGGACCCCTCCCGGCCTGTGACCTTTGTGACCAACTCCAACTATGCAGCAGATGGTGGTGAGCCTAGATTCCCATCCCACTTCTCCCCGCCTTGCCTAGGCTCGTCCTGAAACCTGCTCATTGGAACAGCTGGAAAGCACCATGCGCTGCCAGTCTGCTTTTATTTTGTTTTTTTTTTTGAGACAGAGTCTTGCTCTCTCGCCCAGGCTGGAGTGCAGTGGTGCGATCTCAGCTCACTGCAAGCTCCGCCTCCAGGGCTCACGCCATTCTGCTGCCTCAGCCTCCCGAGTAGCTGGGACTGCAGGTGCCCCACTCACCCAGCCCAACTTTTTTTGTATTTATACTAGAGATGGTCACCATGTTAGCCAGGATACCCTTATCTGACCTCCACCTCCGCCCTCGCCTGCCTCTCCCAAAGTGCTGGGATTACAGGTGTGAACCACCGCACTCCAGCCAAGCATTTTTACTAGAAAGAAGTATAAGTTCAGGACACATTAGAAACTAGCCAGTTGACAGAAGCTTCCTGCTGCCTGTAGTCATGAGCACCCTGCTTTCTTTGCTGAAGCTGGGGTGGTCCTACTCGGCCCTCCCTGCCCTGTTCTAGGATGGACTCTTGTGTCCTCTACAGCCCACAGCGCTCCCTTCTTGAAAGCTGCCTCAAGATTCTGTGACAGCCGGGCGTGGTGGCGCCACGTCTCATCGCAGCACTTTGGGAGGCTGAGGCAGGCGGATCACTTGAGGTCAGGAGTTCAAGACTAGCCTGAGCCAACTGGTGAAACTCGTTTCTACCAAAAATACAAAAAATTAGCTACGCGCGGGTGGCGCGCGCACCTGTAATCCTAGCTACTCGGGAGGCTGAGGCACGAGAAGCACCTGATCACGGGAGGCAGAGGTTGCAGTGAGCTGAGATCGCACCACTAACATTCTAGCTTGGGCGACAGAGCGAGACTATGTCTCCAAAATAAAACAAAAGATTCTCTGTGAGAATGACTTCATCGGCCCCTCGGGTGGGAACGCTTCTCCAGGGCAAGGTGAGGGAAGCCTTCGAGGATGGAGTGCTGGCCGGAGACACAGTTCCAGTGGCGCGAGCCCTGGGCTTTTGGCTGAGGACCGTGTGTTGCAGCTGCTGTGCCTCTCACAGCCCTTCCCAGCTGCGCATGTCATGAGCATCACCGTGGAGTGACTGGCCTGCCTCCTTTGGGCCACTGTGTGACCATGTTTCCTGCCTATGGAGCAGGGTAATTTCAGGATCTCAAATTGGTGTACTTTGCATGTTCTCAGCTCCAGGAGGCCTTCCTGCCAGTGTTTTGTTTGTTTGTTTGTTTTTTGTTTTTAGTAGAAAATGGGGGACTTGTGATGCTGCCCAGGCTGGTCTCGAACTCCTGGGATCAAGCGATCCTCCCACCTTTGGCCTTTCTCTCCCCGTTGTGCAGGAATTACAGGTATGAGCCACCGTGCCCTGCTAATTTTCTTACTACTATTTTCTATAGAGCTGGGGTCTTGCTGTGTTGCCCAGGCTGGTTCGAACCTCCTGGCCTCAAGTTTTTCATCCTCCCTGCCCCTTGGAAGGCCCCAGAGTGCTGGGATTTCATCCCCTTCTTACCTTCTCTGTCAGAGAAGCCTCTCACAGTGTGTGAGTGCTGAGTCATGCCGTTGTCTTGTGGGTGCTGAACGGTCCCTGCCGCTCTGGTCCTAGGCTCGCATGACGTGGATCTGTTTGAACAGCTACTACTCTTGGTATCAAGCCGACTATGGGCACCTGGAGTTGATTCAGCGGCAGCTTACCACCCAGTTTGAGAACTGGTATAAGACGTATCAGAAGCCCATTATTCAGGCTTGTGCATGGAGCGGAAACGATTGTTGGGTTTCACCAGGTAAGCAGTGTTGAGCTTTCTGTTTGTGTTTTCTCTCGAGGCAGAGATGTCACTCACCTCCCCCGGCCTGTCCTGCGCCCACTGCACTGCTCCCCTCACTTCAGCTTTGGGCTCTCCTCCCTCTGCCTCATCCACGCTCCCGCCCCTCGGCTCCCCCTTTGCTTCGTCCTCAGAGGTGGCCTCCCTTACCGCTTCTTTGTTTCTAGACAGCCTCTGTCACCTGTGCCCAAGTAGTCTTTCTAGCAAATCCAAATTTGTATTTGTTTGCGTCTGAGACTGGATCTTTCTTTGTCACTAAGGCTAGAGTGTGGTGGTGTGATCACTGCTCACTGCAGCCTTAACCTCCTGGGCTCAAGTGATCCTCCCACCTCAACCTCCTGAGTAGCTGGGACCATAGGCACATGCCAACATGCCTGGCTAATTTTTTTACTTTTGTAGAGATGAGGTCTTGCTGTGTTGCCCAGGCTGATCTTGAACTCCTGGCCTCAAGTGATCTCCCGCCTCAGCCTCCCAAAGGGCTGAGATTACAGGTGTGAGCCTCTGCGCCAGCCACAGGTGACAATTTTGGGAGTCCTGTCATCGGCTCCCCCAGGCCCATAGGACAAAGCCCTCAGCCTCCTGGTCAGGACACTCAGTGTCCTCTGCCTCTCCTGGGTTTTCATCCTCTTTTCCCTCACTCCCGGCCACTGATCTGTTTCACTGCTCCTTTGTTCTCCCGCCTTGCTTGAGCTGTTTCTTCTACCTGAATTCCCATGTTGGCAACATAATCACCAACTAAACGATTCTCTTTTTTAAAAATGCTTATTTTTAGAGATAGGGTCTTGCTATATTGTCCGGCTGGTCTCAAACTCCTGGACTCCAACTGATTCTCTCGCCTTGGCCTCCAAAAAGCCGGGATTACAGGCGTGATCCACTGTGCTACTTTTTCTTTTTTTTTTTTTTTTTTTTTTCTTCTGCAGGGTCTTGTTCTGTTGCCCAGGGTGGAGTGCAGTGGTGCCATCATAGCTCACTGCAACCTTCAACCTCCTGGGCTGGAAGCGGGCCTCGCCTCAGCCTCCCTGAGTAGCTGGGACTACAGGCATCACCACCATGGCAGCCTATTTTAATTTTTTTGTAAAGATGGAGTCTCGCTTATCACGCTGGTCTGAACTCCTGGCCTCATGTGATTCTCCTGCCTTGGACTCCCAAAGCATTGGGAATCCAGGCATGGTTTTCACCATGCCCACGCCTGTCCCCATTTTTTTAATCTACCTGATTTTTTTATCCTCACTAAAGATATGTGTTGGTTTGTTTTAGAGGTTTTTTTTTTCATGTGGATTGGCTGAACCCCATCCAGCCCCCCTCATTCCCACCCCAGCCAGCTCACTTGTTTGTCATAGCTCCTGGGACTCCCGTTGACACACAGGGAATAGCCACCACAGGATCATGCTGGTTCTGTTTGCACCCTTAAATTTATCATGCTTACAGAATGCCACTTCTGCAAACTAGTTAAGCAGGGGAGTTGGCTCATGATATGCTCGCTTGCTCATCCTTTTTGAAAAGGTAACCAGCTCTGAATTTTTTTTTTTTTTTTTTTTTTTTTTTGAGATGGAGTTTCGCTCTGCCGCCCAGGCTGGAGTGCAGTGGTGCAATCGGCTCACTGCAACCTCCACCTCCTAGTTTCAAGTGATTCTCGTGCCTCAGCCTCCCAAGTAGCTGGGATTACAGCCACGCACCACCACGCCCACCTAATACTGTATTTTCATAGTAGAGATGAAGGTTTCTCACTCATGTTAGCTGTCAGCTGACCTTGAACTCCTGACTTCAAGTGGACCCAATTCGCCTTGGCCTCCCAAAGTGCTGGGATTACAGGCATGAGCCACCGCGCCAAGTCCCAGCTCTAAACTCTTAAGAAACTCTCGAGAGGGTCTAGGTCAGTGCTGATAGAACCTTTCTGTAGTGCTGGGCCTGGTGGCTCACACCTGGGAATGCACTTTGGGATCGCCAGGTCAGAGGATCTCTTGAACCCAGGAGTTTGAGACCAGTCTGCGAACACAGACCTACTCCTCACAAAAAAATTTAAAATTATTAGGCATGGTTGTGAGTGCTTATAGTCCAGGATACTTGGGAGGCTGAGGTTGGAGGATTGTTTCATCCCAGTAGGTCGAGGCTGCATTCAGCTCTGATGGCACCACTGTACTCCCATTCAAAGACTTTGCTTCAAAACAAAAACTCTTGCAATGATGGAAATGTTGTACATTCGTACCGTCTGAAATGGTACACACTAGCTACATATGGCTACTGAGGTGTTGATATATGACTAGGATAAATTTGAATTGGATTTAGTTTAAAAGAATTTTTTTGAGACAGCTCACTCTGTTGCCCAGGCTGGGAGTGCAGTGGCGTAATCACAGCTCACTGCTCACCCTCCTGAGCTCAAGCGATCCTCCCTCCTTAGCCTGAAGTAGCTGGAACCACAGGCGTGCGCCACCACGCCTGGCTAATATTTAGGCTTTTGTAGAGATCAGTCTCACTGTATTGCCTAGACTAATCTTGAACTCCGGGCTCAAGTGATCCTCCTGCCTCCCGATTCTCCAAAAGTGTTGGGATTACAGACCTGAGCTACCATGCTCAGCCTTAGTTTAATTCTAATATATTTATTTATTTATTTATTTGAGACAGGGTCTTTGCTGTGTCACCCAAGCTGAGTGCAGTGTTGTGAACACAGCTCACTGGGCTGCTTTGATCTCCGGGGCTCAAGCAGCCTCTCCACCTCAGCCTCCCAAACTGCTGGGATGACAGGCAAGAGCCACTGCACCTGACTCCAAAGACACATTTTTTACCTGTAGTGTAGTGTAGCCTTAAGACTGTACCAGCGGATAGAGGTGGAAAAGTAATGTAAAGCGAGTATCAAATTATGTTTATAAATAAAGCAGTTGCTCATTAAGGTTGTTTTCTTTTAAAATCCTCCTTTTTATTCTGGTTGGCATCCTTCCCTGGCTGTCTTCTTTACCCCAGCATCAGTGAGTCCTGCAGTCACTATAGCCCCCTGCGAGGACAGATATTTTGGTCACCACTCTGGATCTTTATTTTTATCGATCCTTACAATTCTGCCAGTTCTGACTCTTATTTCTTTGCCTTGAATCCCAGACCCGCTCTGATGTTCACTGAAGAGTACTCAGAAGAGTCTGCTAGAGCAGTACCATGTGGTTCTGGATCAAAAACGCAGAAAGTACGTGGTTGGAGCTCATCTGAATTTTGCCGATTTCATGACTGAACAGTGTAAGTGGCAGTTTGGCTCCTGGGATAAGGTAATTGCCTATTTTTTCAGGTTGCCTGCCAATGCTGGCCATTTCAATGTAAGAATATTGGAAACAGTGGGGAAGCTGAATAACCCATAGCTGTGTTGAGGAACTTCAGAGGGAAAAGGCAAGTTGTGCTAGGAAGCAGGAAAGCAGTCAGGCTCCCGCCTCCCAAATGTGGTCGCAGCAAACAGGAGAGTCAGCTATGGTGAGACGGAAATGGCTAGCTTGCCTTTGTTCTTTGCTCCATTTCATAGCCAGGAGGAAGGAAAACGGGACCTAGCTATGGATTTACTTTTGGGAAACACTCATTATTCCATAGTAGGTGCCAAAAGCCTGAGTAGTTTAAGGTATTTCAGGCTGTTGTACATTACTCACTCTGCGAAAGAATACAGGTGAGTTTCAACGATCTTGAATGAGGCAGCATTTAAAGTCTCAGGCCGGGCATGGTGGCTCATGCCTATAATCCCAAAACTTTGGGAGGCCAAGCTGGGAGGATCGCTTGAGGCCAGGAGTTCAAAACCAGCCTGTTCAGCATAGCAAGACCCCATCTCTACAAAAACAAATTAGCTAGGCGTGGTGGTGTGTGCCTGTAGTCCCAGCTGCTTGGGAAGCTGAGGCAGGCGGATCACCTGAGCACAGGAGTTGGAGGCTGCAGTGAGCTGTGATTGCACCACTGCGCGAGAGTCTGGGCAACAGAGCGAGACCTGCCTTTAAAAAACAAAATTGGTCTTCAAAGAGAATAAGATCTGTGTTCTCACATGGGGACAGATGAGGGGCTGCCAAGTGTTCTTTCAAGTAATGAATGTGTCCCATTTCTTATTTATGGACTTACTGTAAACTCAGGATGGCAGTTTGGTGGGTTGGAGAAGGATATGGTAATGGTGGGAATTATATTACTTACCGGGAAGACAGGCTTTGAAAGGCTAAAGCTTAAAAGTGAGAGGGAAAAGGGATGAATGAATGAACAAGATGGAGGTGGAGAAGGAAGAGGGAAAGGGAAAAGCAGAACAGAAGCTCTCCCTCTGCGTGGCACCTGCAATAAATGGTTTCTGGGGATATCCGTGATGGCAGTTTTGTGGACAGGCGTGAGGATTTATGTGATAAGAAATGAGCCGCAGGCTGGGCAATGTGGCTCACGCCTGTAATCCCAGCACTTTGAGAGGTTTGAGGTGGCAGATCACCCATGTCAGGAGTTTAAGATCAGCCTGGCCAACATGGAGAAACCCCGTCTCTACTAAAAATACAAAATTAACCGAACATGGTGGCACATGCCTGTAATTCCAGCCACTTGGGAGACTGAGGCATGAGAATCAAGCAGAACTGGGAGATGAGATTGCAAATGAGCCAAGACTGTGACCACTGCACTCTCTAGCTTGGGCAATAAAGTGAGAAAGTTTTTTTTTGAGAGGGGTTTTGTTTCTTTTTTCCCAGGATGTGAGTGTGGTGCCATTCCTTGCCAGCTCACTGCAACCACCTCCTCGGGGTTCAAGCAATTCTCCTGCCTCAGCCTCCCACCAACTGGGATTACAGGCACCCACCACCATACCCGCTAGTTTTGTATTTTTGTAGAGACAGGGTTTCTCCGTAGCTAGTAAGGCTGGGCGCTTGAACTACCAACCTCAGGGGACCTGGCGCACCTGGGTCTCCAAGTGCTGTGATTACAGGCGTGAGCCATTGTGGCCAGCTGACTCGATCTAGGAAAAAGAAATGAGGTGCATCACGATGGCAAGTCTGCTTATCATGAACTGTCCAGTGGGGATAATGCTGCCACCTTGTGTGTTGTAAGGGCTGCATTTGACGAAGTACTTGGCCTGCCTGTGTCTTTACCTGTGGAAGAAAGTTCCTTTGAACCTTGGTAGGGAAGGCCTCCCTTTGCATTTAAAATACTCCATTTAGTGGTATCTCATTGGGGACAGAGAATGTCCTGGAGAGCATGCCTGACGGGTCTCTTGCCAAAGCTGTGTTTCCCACCAGCCTCAGTTCAGGCCTGATGACCACTGGTGGTGGGTGCTGACAAGCTGAACATCGGCCCTGCCCCAGAGACTTGAACTCCATGAGCAGGTCCTCATGTAGGCACCCGTGGCTGGTCAGACCCTGGCTCCCTACTAGGTGCTATCTCTTCAGAAAGACCTTAAGCCTTTCAAGGGTAACTGTCCCAGATACCCACAGCCCTCTGCCTACCTAGTTACCAGACAGCTGGGAAGCCAGCATGTAAACCCTATTTTTGTAAAGTAAAAGATAAACTTTGGTGCTTTTTTTTTTTTTTTTTTTTTTTTTTTTGAGATGGACTCACTCTGTCACCCAGGCTGGAGTGCAGTGGCACGATCTCAGCTCACCACAACTTCTGCCTCTGCCCAAGCAATTCTCCTGCTCCAGCCTGCTGGAGCAGCTGGGACTACAGGCACCCACCACCATGCCCGGATAATTTTTGTATTTTTAGTAGAGATGAGGTTTCACCATATTGTCCAGGCTGGTTTTGAACTCCTGACCTTGGGATCTGCCTGCCTTGGCCTCCCAAAGTGCTGGGATTACACAGGCATGAGCCACTGTGCTCCGACTCAATTTTTTTATTTTTAATAGAGACGGGGTTTCTCACGCTTGGCCATGCTGGTCTCGAACTCCTGACCTCAGGTGATCCACCTGCCTCAGCCCCTCCCAAAAAGCGCTGGGATTACAGGCGTGAGCTACCACACTCCAGCCACTGTTTTGGGTTTTTCCTATAACAGAGTAGAAACAGAATTAACACATCAGGAAACTGGAGGTTGGAGCAGAGCAGTGGGTGTTTAAATATTTCAACCCATAAATTGTCATTTCACAGCAAGCATCCTGAAACTATAACAGGACATTTGGCTGAACATGGTGGCTCGTGCTTATAATCCCAGCACTTTGGGGAGGCTGAGGAGGGCAGATTGCTTGAGCCTAGTAGTTTGAGACCAGCCTGGGCAACACACACATGGATGAGACCTTTGTCCTTACTAAAAAAAAAAAAAAATTAGCTGGGCATGGTGGTGCCTAAGTAGAGGCTGAGGCGAGACTGCCTGACCTCAGGAGGTTGAGGGGCCGCAGGCCATGGGATTGTCACTGCATTCCAGCCTGGGGGACAGTGGAGAAAAGAAAAAACAAGACTATGCAGAGCCAAGACACTGTAGTGCCTACCTTGGCTCCAGTGTGGTTCTAACTTGACCCATCAGAAGTCATCTGAACTCACTTTAGCCTTTTTTTTTGTTTTTTTAGCACCACGAGAGAGTGCTGGGAATAAAAAGGGGGTCTTCACTGCAGAGACAACCAAAAAGTGCAGCGTTCCTTTTGCGAGAGATACTGGAAGGATTGCCAATGAAACCAGGTATCCCCACTCAATAGCCAAGTCACAGTGTTTGGAAAACAGCCCGTTTACTTGAGCAAGACTGACACCACCTGCGTGTCCCTTCCTCCCCGAGTCAGGGTGACTTCCACAGCAGCAGAACAAGTGCCTCCTGGGATCAGGCCCACTTGCGACCAGAACGCTTCTGGCCTGGGTTTTATGGTCATCAAAGTAGCAGGGAACACAAGGTGGAAATAAAAGATTTTAGCATGGAAATAAAGAGTTGGCATGAAAGTGGCTACTGAAAAGCATCTGAAATCATTTCTGTGCTATTGCGCTGGTTTTCAGAGCCTTAACTATATGTGGATTCTCAGAGAAACTGCTGTTCAACACCCCCACCAAGTTCAGAGCAGCTGGTTCCAGAGGGCATCTGCAGAAATAGCCCCATGGTCCTAGGGCCGCCGTGAGTCAGGTGTAGCAAAACCGGGCCAGCTCTACAGGAGTGAGTAGAAGACTTTCACAGCCATGTTCCACGATCAGATGAGCTAAAGCTTCCACATGTACCAACAAATTCATAGAAACGCTGTCATGCTGGAAAAAAGTTAATTTAGTAGGTCTGTAGAGCCAGTTTCCACATAGTTCAGCTGGCAGTGTCTGAACGGGAAGGTTAGAGGTAACTGGTTCTCCCAGGACATCGTTCTGACCTCAGCCATAGGGTCTTGACAGAAACGGGCAGATGAGTGTAAACGCCCATTGGCTTTATTACAACGGGATGCTACTGAGTGTGACAAGACCTCCTTAAACAACTCTGCCTACAAATCAGCATTCCATGGCTTTACACCCCGAAATGACGCCACCTACCCCCTCCCAGAGCACAGTCTTTCCTTACACCCTCCTCCCTCTCTTCACGGGCTCCAGTGAGGCAAGGATGGTGCATCAGTTCTGATTTGAAGTATATGCTTTGGGAAAATATTCCTTTTGCTGTCCAGTCAGTTGAAAGACAGTGAACCAATACAATTTTGTTTTGTTTGTTTTGAGACAGTCTTGCCTGCCTGCCAGGCTGGCGTAGTGTGCAAACTCACCACTGCAACCTCTACCTCCGGGTTCAAGAAGTGTTCCTCCTGCCTCAGCCTCTTCCGAAGTAGCTGGAACTACAGGCAACTGCCACCACTCCCAGCTAAATTTTTTAAAATAATTTTAGTAGAGACAGGGTTTCGCTACAAGTTGGCCAGGGCTGGTCCTTGAACTCCTGACCTCAGGCACTCGCCGATTAGCCTCCCCAAGTGCTAGATTACAGGCATGAGCCACCGTGCCCTGCCTCCAGTATGGTTCTTGCTATAGAACTTGGATTTCCCCTCTCTTGTGGTTGAGCCCCCTGTCTCCCCACACACAGAATCTCCTTTTTAGCTTTCCTGTGCAAGCTCCATGAAAGAAAGAATAAAGTTAATTTTGGCCATGATAGTACTGTCAGTCCATTTTTAAAAATGAGAGTGTAGTCAGTTCCAATTATTAAGAATCTAGGGCTTGTATATTTTTATCAACTTCAGTTTTTTGCTGAATCAAGTTTTGTGTTCCAGTATGTCAGCATAATGAATAAAAGTTTTGACAACATTAAGAAAAGTTAAATGGCAGACACATCTAAATGGTTTACAAACCCAGTAGTCCTTTTTTTTTTGAGATGGAGTCTTCTTCTGTTGCCCAGGCTGCAGTGCGGTGGCGTGATCTCGCCTCACTGCACCTCCCGGGTTCAAGCAATTCTCCTGCCTCAGCCTCCTGAATAGCTGGGATTACAGGCACACGCCACAATCCTGGCTAGTTTTTTTGTATTTTTAGTAGAGACGGGGTTTCACCATGTTGGCCAGGCTGGTCTTGAACTCCTGACCTCAAGTGATCCACCCACCTCTGCCTCCCAAAGTGCTGGGATTGCAGGTGTGAGCCATTGCGCCCGGTGGGGTCAGTGCCTTTCCACAGGTCTTGCTTCCAGCACAGAACACACGTGTTCTATTCATATGATAAACAGCTGGTTTCCAATGACTTCTTCTTAATGGGAGATGCTACCTTTTTAGAGGATTATACATGGAGTATTTAAGGAAGCCAAAGGAAACTAAGGGAAAAACAGCCTTATTAATACATTCTGAGTGTTCACAGAACAGTAGGCAGTGACACATTTTAATGCTGACTCTAACAATCACATACATCATATGAACCTCACAGGAATTCCAAGATCTAGAGGTCTGAGACTTGAATCTTCTGAAAGTTACATGACTTAAGAGAAAAAAGAATCAACCCTGTATACTGGAAATGAGGCTACAGTATTGACTTCAAGAATATAAGGCTCCTTACTGAGTCTAAAAGACAAGGCTTCAGCTTCTTTTTTTTGGAACAATGCAACCCTGCAGCTTAAGCAATAACGGAGCACACCTTCCACAGGAACTTCTACATTTATTTTATACCAAAAAAAGTTATGTGCAACAAATAAACATTCTTACATATTTACATTTGGTTTTATTTACCAGTTGTAGTTAAATGGCGCCTTAAATCTCTGATGTTGATATTTATCTAGATTAAAGGAAACTGCCCACCAACTCCATTTTAAAATGAATGTTGGAGCCTTGCTTCTAAAGCAAATTGAAAAGAAATCTTTCATGGAACATACTAGACAGATCATACACCTAATACTTAGGTCATGCCTAATACAGTTTTATAACAAAACATTTCACCTTTTCTAGGCGAATTTGTAGTGTAAAAAATGTTTAGCCAAGTAGCTGAAGCCCACCTCTGCTTTGTTGATGAAGGTGTTCTCACACTAGAAACCATAAGTGCTGCCTGAGGTGTCTGAAATGTTTCACCAATGCTTGTGTGTTGGAGTTAAAGACAGAAGACAGAAATTGCTCTAATAGGTCATTAGGTCGTCTCCCCAAATAGGTTACCAGAAGTCACAGTGGGTCTCCTTGTTGGCATCTGTCTAATATTGATTTTCAACATACATTCCTGTCACTCTTGGTACTAATCTAAGTTACGAAGTAACTGCTGAAGATGACTTGTACTTCTTTGCCTTTTGCCAATAGTCTTTTCAAAAACTAAATGAAAAACAATAGTCAACAAATAGTTTTTATTTATTTTTTATTTGAGACAGAGTTTCACTGCTGGCCCAGGCTGGAGTGCAATGGCACAATCATGGCTCACTGCAACTCCGCCTACCGGGTTCAAAGCAATTCTCCTGCCTCAGCTTCCGGAGTAGCTGGCATTACAGATGCCTGCCACCATGCCCAACTAACTTTGTCATTTTTAGTAGCGATAGAGTTCCACTATGCTGGTCAACTGACTCTGAACTTCTGACCTCAGGTGATCCACCTGCCTCGGCCTCCCAAAGTGCTGAGATTACAAGTGTGAGCCACTGCGCCCAGCCAGCAAAATAGTTTTAATTCCCACTGTAGCCTGGTCCCTTTGGAATGTAGTTCCTTTGAATGTTTCAGTTTAATGCTTTGAACATCATTGAAAATAATGAATTTTAAGGAGAGGACACATGTAAGCAAAGGAACAGTGATTCTGGGCACACAGCTGGTTAAACCTGAGTTATTTCACCAGAAATTACTTTACTGAGAGCAACTAGCCAACAAACCAAATGAAATCCCCAAATCACCCAGATTCTCTAGAATTTATCATCTAACCCTAATTCGTCTTATTTCTTCAAATGATATTGGTGAGCATCAAGTCAATAAATGGCTTCATTTGGAACAAATTACTTAAAAAAGATGAAGCATGGAATTACTGCTAAAACAAATGTTTCCTCATCTGTCCTTTTTTAACACTGTGGCTAGTAATGCTGCAGTGTTCAAACATTCAGTCTAAAACAGGCAAAACAATCCTCTTAATTTTATAACACTGGTGATTCCTCTCTTCGGGCAGAATAGAAGGTATAGAAGGGAATCTGAATTCTCCAGGGCAAAAAACACCCAATTAACACCAGCAGGGTTCTGTTACTTACTGAGACAATGGCATTACAATGCTGTTATGACAGGCAGCAATGTTCCTCTCTCAGTGAGAAAAAGGTATTAATTCGACTGGGCCATAAGAATGTGGCAAAAATTTTATATAACTGAAACACTGGTTTCCCAGTTTCCCAGAAAAAGCAAAGAAAAACTGAAAGTGGCTCTGGCTGAGCATTTTCCCATGTTTTCTCAGTAAGAGTTGGAAGACATTTAAAGAATGCAAACATCAAGATGCTTTAACTATACTCTGCTGATTGATACAAAATAGGATGAAAAACCATTGGATCCTGGGACACGAGGAACTGAGCCACAACCGTGTTATGTAAACAGTTTTAACCCATTAGGGCCATTTCCACTGTAGCTTAGACAGTGAACCAGAGGACTGCCTTGGTGAGAGGCTGGGACGCATCGCCATATGATTGCTCACGTACAGCTCCTCAAAACGTGAGGACTTCTTTTCTTCTCCATAGGCACCAGACGGCTAATCAGTGCCAGAGTTCTTTAACTATTTCAGAATACAAGAACAGTACATCCATACCTTGTCGTTTTCATTGGAAAGATTCACATTCATGGAAAACACAAGTCTGATGAAATCTGGAGTTAAGCTATCTTTAAGCAGAAACTTGGTTGAAACCGGTGAAAAGTTCATTACAATTCAGGCCTGATACTCCCGCTCGGGCCAGAAGATCACACAGCTAATTCTGGAGTCAGTGGAAGCTACAGAATTGTTGCTGATCCTGGGCTAAGACGGAGTTTACAGAGCAGAGCCTGTCCCCTCCTTCAAAGAGAAGGCAACAAAGCACTCAAGAGGTACTGGTCTCACGAATGTTTTAACATAAAAATATTCACGAGATTGGAAGCAAACACATTGCATTAAGTGTTTCCCAACCAGAGGAGTGAAATGATCACACAGGACCCTTCTGCAGACTGTGGGTTTTCTACCTGACGGTGGAAGATGGTAGGAGGCAGTGACACTCTACCCAAGGTCAACAATACACACAAAAATATTTGGTTTGAGATTTAAGACAGAAGGCACTTTTAACATTCTGATATCAGATGTTAACCATACAAACGTCCTGTCACAATTTCTCATTTAAGCCATTTTAATCCCCTTCCAAAATTCTTCGCTGCATGTGTACACACAGTGAGAGCAGTGGCGACGACCACAGATTTAGCCTGGAGATGTGTGTCTCACCTGTCTTATTCTCCATGAAGCAAACTGCGAGCACATGTCAGCCCTTAAAGGTTACAAATCCAGTATTTGACTGCAAAACAACTACAACTAGACATCCGAGTGGTTAGTGCAGAAAGAAACAATGAGCAAGAACACTGGCTCCCACCCAGAGCGACGGGGCTTAGACTGGCTCTTCCACTCATAATACTGTCGGCTGGATTGGCAACCAAACCATGGACAAAAATATCTGCATGAAAATTCCAACTGGCAGAAGAAACTTCTGTGACTTAATAATGCCAGGGCTTATATTTCCAGCTTTTCTCCCAAAAGAAAAATACCATTTTCTATCCTTGTGTCCCAAAGGCCTTGAACTTGAAGGTCTGGCCATATGACTCATTCTGTAAGGTTAACAATTGGTCCAGTTTTATGACTGGACACAAACAGGACTTGAACAAGTCCCAATTCAATTTCTTTCCTTTTAGAAGAGGGAGATGAAAAGGAACCAACCACCCTATTATTATTTTTTTCACCCTATTATTTGCTGCACCCACAGCGGCCAGTACTTTCCACAAGATGCTGTGTATAGGCTATTTTCACTATCTCCTCAGTTGCCGCTTCAATGCTGAACTGACAGTTCTTCAATGCTACACTCCAACCAAACTGTACAGCAGTTCTGCAGAAAATGGATCTAATATTTCAATTTTATTTACAAATATCACATAATGGATTCTAGTTGAATCTACATGTTTAAATCCATCAGCTAAAAACATATTACATATTGTAAACATGGCAATATTTAATACAGTATCTATTCTAGAATATTTTCATGTCATGATCACATTTGTTATACCTGAAATTGAATTTATGCACATTAAAGAATTACTAGCAATGGTTGCTGACTTTACAATTGAGGGCAGGGGGCTAGGGCTACATTTTAGAGTCATATTTGTGAAACATCTTCAAAGTAGTTAAAGCTTGTTCTGATTGGCTCAAGGATCCTTTTTGTGAACTGCCATATTTAAAATGAAGATTGACACAGAAAATAGCGAGGGCCCCTTCTAATTTACAGGATTTTAAAAAATCAGTTTGAGATTCTTAGGGAAAGTGTCTGTTGTGAATAATAATAATAATAAAAACCTGCTGCAAAATAAACTGAATGGAAAAGGGGCTTGAGACTGTCAGGGCAGAGTCTGTCAGGCGTCAGTCCTGCTTGGGCTGCAGCTGCCGCCCAGGCCTCGCTCAAGTAAACTAGCCGCTTGTAGTTGATAATGAGAAGAAGGAAGTTCATACGCACGTGACGACGCAGATGATGCAGAACTCCTTCAACACAAAGTACAGAATGTAGGCCAGGTACAGGGACCCCACGACCGACATGATGGAGGACGCTATGAGGATCAAAGCCGCCACGTGCACTTGCTGTCATGCCTGTAAGAGAAGAGACGCGGCTCAATCAGGCTCCTTGGCGCTGAGAGAGGCTTTCTGAGTGACAAGGACTAACACTGTGTGACTTGCTGCAGTGTTTGCATACTGATCTTCCTGCCAAACTCTGAAAACTGAAAACAGAAATACTGGTCTGTTTCATTAAAATTATACAGGTGGACTCTGTGATCAAATGCTAGCTTTTCAGGGTTTTGAGATGGGGTTTCACTGCTGCCTAGGCTGAGTGGCAGTGATACAATCTCACCTCACTGCAATCGCCTACCTCCCAGGTTTAAGCAGCTCTCTCTGCCTCAGCCTCCGTGCCAGCCAGGATCACAGGCATGCCACCATGCCCGGCTAATTTTGTTGGCCAGGCTGGTCTCCAACTCCTGATCCTCCCGCCTCAGCCTCCCAAAGTGCTGGGATTACAGGTGTGGCCACCATACCCGCCAAATGCCAGTTTTATAGCTGCAATGTTTTTGATTTCTCAATCTTTCAGGTGAAATATTACTAATTTCATAAACTAACCTAGTTGAAAATATGCACACAAGCAAACATGCAGTCTCACAATCACATTAAGCAATGAAGCTGACTTGTAACATCAACAGCCCCAAGACACCAAATGAATAAAGGGACATGAGGACCACAGCCTTTTCCTAAACCGAGCTGCACACATTTGGTGAGAACCTTCTCTGGTTTTCACTACAGCCTCCCCATCTGTGGAAAGTAAAATTGCTTTTCCATGTTTAGATCAGATTGATTAAAAATCCACAATGAGAGGTGACTACACCAACAAGCTGCTGAGAGAGAAAACTCTTGCTAAACATTCCAGGAAGGGCTCACCCTGGTGGATAAGGAAAACCACAGCAGGCTCATTGGCTGTATGTGGGCCAAACCCCGATCAAGAAAAATGGTGGACATGTGTGCTAAACCCAGACTCTCAGTACAAAAAGGCACCTAAAGACAGGCGCGATGGCTCATGCCTGTAATCCTAGCACTTTGGGAGGCCGAGGCAGGCAGATCATTTGAGGTGAAGAGTTTGAGACCAGCCTGGTCAACATGGTTAAACCCCCTCTACAAAAATACCAAAAAAATTGGCATGGTATTGCACACTTGCAACCCCAGCTACAAGGGAGGCTGAGGCACAAGAATTACTTGAACCCAGGAGGCGGAGGTTGCAGTGAGATGAGATTGCCCCACTGCACTCCAGCCTGGTCAACAGAGTAAGATTCTGTCTCATTTAAAAAAAGAAAAAAAAAGGGTACCTGAATTCTGGACTCTATCTTCACATGTATTGTTTTTTAGTTTCTGTGGCTAATAGTATGGAGAATATGTGCATTTATTTTCAAGGACAGAGAAGGCAGAGCATTGCTAAACGGCTCTCCTACCCAATGACTCATGGATAAGGATAACAGAAACAGGAACAAAATAAATCGGTGGGAGCAGGTTTAAAGAAGTCAATTAAAGAGCTGAAATCCCGGTGCCTGTTGGCAAAGAAAGCAACAAGAAGACGCCTATGGCTGGCTGGGCTGGCTCGGCCACAGCCAATGGACTAGATGCTTTCATAGGGCACTTCAAGACTAAGGTGTTGAATTACTGCAGGACTAGCAAATCTGGCCAGCTACCTGCTTTAGTAAATAAAGTTTTATTGGCACTCAGCCATGCTCATTCATTTATGTAATGTCTGTGACTGCTTTCACGCTAGAAACAAAGAGTTGCTGCAGCAACTGGCAAAGTCAATTTTCTCCAGGCCCTTTACTGAAAAAGTTTGCTGACTTCACCTATGCTAAACAACTAACATTTCAAAATTAATGCGGTCACAATTTTATCTAAGAAAGTTAATTTCAAAATGAGACGGGCAAGTTATTTCTTCCTCCATGCCTCTCTTTTTTCAACTGTAAAATCGGGATAACAATCATGCTTACTTCCCAAGACTGCTGGACAATTAAATGAGCTGAGATAATGCAGGGTTAAAGTACTTAGAATAGTGTATAAATGCCAGCTCTCCGTTCAATACTACCGTAATGCAACTAGGTACTTGTGGTTTCAGGGCAAAATTCAATGGAATTTTAAAATGCTGTAACTCTAAACAAAATGATGGTACAATTATGCAAATGGATTATTCTGCAGCTGTAAAAAGAATGAAGACATTTAATAAACTGATATGGAAAACTCTCATGGTATATCCATCAAGCAAAAAAAGAAAAGAACATGCAAGCTGTAGGATAGCACAGGGTATAGCATCTGCCTTTATATTTTAAAAGGAAGAAAATTAAGATTGTGTATGTGTACTTTCTCATATACGCAAAAAGAAACTCGAAAACAGTAAATAAGCTACCAGTTGGGGCTGAGGAGCAGTGGAAACCAGGGGAAAAGGGAAGGGGTGGCACAGATTTTTCTTTGTATAACATTTTATATATATATATATATTTTTTCCTGAAAGAGTCTCGCTCTGTCACCCAGGTTGGAATGTAGTGGCACGATGTTAGCTCACTGCAACCTCCGCCTTCCGGGTTCAAGCAATTCTCCTGCCTCAGCTTCCTGCTAGCTGGGATTACAGGTGAGTGGAACCACACCCGGCTAATTTTTGTATTTTTAGCAGAGACAGGGGTTTCACCAGGCCACAGGCTGGTTTTGAACTCCTGACCTCGTGATCCGCCCATGTTGGCCTCCCAAAATGCTGGAATTAATGGCATGAGCCACTGCGCCTGGTCCTTTTTAAAAAGTTTTGAACCATGTGAATGGATTACCTATGAAAAATTAAAATTAAAAATGCTGTATCTCAAACAGCTTAGAAGGGAGTACAGATGTATACCTATGTAACAAACCTGCACGTTGTGCACATGTACCCTAGAACTTAAAGTATAATAAAAAAGAAAAAAAAAAAAGTGAGTACAGATGTCCTGCTCTGGAAACTGTTAGGTTAGTTCAAATGTGCCTCACATGAAGACACCAACATTAGAAGGCACTTGAAGATCCAAATGCAAGTCAAAAATGCTAATGAAAAACACATATGATACATATGATTTAAAATATGCATACAGCATGGCATTAAATTAATGGTATAAAAAGAAATTTGGCTGTAGCACTTATCTTCAAAAGTTATCCAGCTGTTATTTTTCTTAGGTTCTTTGCCTTAAGGGAAAACGCTTTGTGATTTGGTTTATATTTCATATTCTTCTCTAGAAATCCAGCAAAATGGAAATATGCAGAATACAGTGAAATTTCTCCCTCCTGCCAACCACCAGACCCTTTTCTATGCATTTACATGCATGTATACAAACATGTTTATCCTATACATATTATACCAAAATTTGCATTTTTCACTAAACAGTATATTTATCTTTCTAGGATATAAATATAGATCTCCTTTTTCCTTTAATGGCTACATAGTATTTCACACTATTTTCTAATTTATTCAACCATTACATATTTCTAAATAAGTCCTTTTTTTTTTTTTTTTTTTTTTTGCTATTTCACACTGTACTGCTATGAATATCCGTGTGCACATATCTTTGAACTTCTGCAAGATATACAGATATGGAACTGGGCAAACTCGACAGAACTACTGAGAATGATTTAGATTTATAATTTGCCTCATAACAATCAACAATTTCAGATAGAAGAGTTACATGTATTTTTTAATGAACCAAATCAAAAGAGCTGACAGATAATGGAATATTAACAATTAAAATACAAAAGCATTGGTATGCAACAAGATCTATAAAAGAAGAAAATAAAATGCAAAGGTAATAAATGGATGGATTTAACTTCTGAAAGTATAAACAATAAAATATAAATTCATAACACTAACAAAAAAAGATAAAGAATGCGTTAAATGTTTGTAACACAATAAAAACGTACTATTATCGGGATCCAATATCTAAATGGACAATAAAAGGAAATTTAAAAGAATAAAATTTAAATAGGTACTAATGTGTAACTATTAGCAATTTTTCCTGGTGAAGATTATCATTATGACTAAAAAAAAAAAGAAATTTTACAAAACACATCTTAAAAATAAAGACGCTAGAGCTTCAGGGAAACCAAAGAACTGAGGGAAAGCAACCTGGTACACCTGATTAAAATAGAAAATATCTGTGTTTTTGATCCTATGCCTGGAAATTTGTGGAGATACTTAAGGAAGGAGGGAGGTCTTTAAACAAAGTTGATCAGTGCAGCATTATTTAGAAGTCAAAGGTGTGAAACCTAGATGTTAACAGTAACAGGATAAACAACACTATGTTGAAACACAGTTCACATCAAATTATTATTAGTTTTTGAGACAGGGTCTTGCTCTGTCCCCCAGGCTGGAGTGCAGCAGTGGTGTGATCCTCGGCTGCCTGCAACCTCCATCTCTGGGCTCAAGTGATTCTCTCACCCCAGACTTTCAAGTAGCTGGGACCACAGTTTTGTGCCGCCACAACCTGGCTAATTTTTGTATTTTCTGTAGAGACAGAGTCTCGCCATGTTGCTCCTGGGCTCAAGTGATCTGCCCTTCTCGGCCTCCCAAAGTGCTAGGATTACAGGTGTGAGTCACCGCACTTGGCCCCAAATTATTATTATTATTTATTATTATTTTTTTTGTGTGTGAGACAGAGTTTCGCTCTTGTTGCCCAGGCTGGAGTGCAATGGCGCGATCTCAGCTCACTGCAACCTCCGTCTCCTGGATTCAAGTGAATCTCCGGCCTCAGCCTCACGAGTAGCTGGGATTGCAGGCATGCACCACCACACCCGGCTAATTTTGTAATTTTAGTAGATACAGACTTTCACCATGTTGGCCAGGCTGGTCTCGAACTCCCAACCTCAGGTGATCTGCCCACCTTGGCCTCCCAAAGTGCTGGGATTACAGGCATGAGCCACTGTGCCCGGCCCCAAAAATTATTCTGTAAAAATAGAAGACTGTAGGAATAGTGGATATGTAAAGGTGATGGGATTATGAAGATGAGCCATTAATGTCCCCTTAATATATGCGATATCTTACAAGTACAGAGAGTCTATAAAAC